GCTGGAAATGCATTGAAAGTTGTAGAGCTTCTCGAAGCGAATGTAGATATAAATGCTTCAAATCCGGTAACTTGCTTTTTTACCAATTAACTTGATCTATAATTTCCCCCAAAATTCTATTGTTTATGAAATTTTCAGACGGGTTTGACGGCCCTCCATCTTTCTTCTAAAGAAAATTTATCAGATATTGTCAGAAAGCTTATATCGCATGGTGCTCACATTGATGCTGTCACAATGAAAGGCAACACTGCTCTTCACATCGCAAGCCTTGCTGGTCATTTCGACATTGTAAAACAACTGATAGAGGCTGGTGCAAATGTTGACAAGCAGACTCTTGTAAGCAGCATATTCTATTTATTTATTTCATATTTTGTCTCACTGTTCAATTTACACTTTGTTTTGTAAATCAATTTTTAAATGTTCCTTTTAGGTTGGTTTTACTCCTTTATATATGGCGGCCCAAGAAAATCATTTAGATATAGTACATTATCTTTTAAATAAAGGAGCTAATCAGTCACTTACTACGGAGGTATGTCTACCTATAATTGATTTTAATGTCAGCCATTTTCTGGAAATCATGGTGCATCTTATTTCCATTTAGGATGGCTTTACACCATTAGCTGTTGCTCTTCAGCAGGGTCATGATCTTGTTGTTGCAGCTTTATTAGAACGCGATTCACGTAGTAGAGGGGGTTTGCCCGCTCTTCATATTGCCGCCAAAAAAGATGATGTTAATGCTGCCAGTCTCCTATTGAATAATCCCGAAGTTAACGTTAATCATCAATCACAGGTATGAGCTTCCCTATATTTAATATCTCGTTTTATTTATCATTAATTCTTATTCTGATACACATGCATGAAGCTGATTTTTTAAACTCTATACCAAGGGAAATTCTTTTGTCAATAGGCAGCATTCCATTTTATTCTATTTATCTTCATTTTTAGCAAGCCATTATTTATGCGATTTCAAGGCTATAAAGTGGATTTATACATTTTATACATAAAAAACGTATTCTATAACCTATGGTTCATCTCGCTATAAATTCTTCCGGTTATTATTTAGACATTTTTGCCAAA